CTCTTCCAGCATTTGCCCTAAATATATTTCTAATTAGAGACAACTACTGGTGGTTGAAGATTTTCTTCCCTTCCCTCTCTCCATCTTCCCCCCCACCCCACTCCCTTGTAAATGATACAGGAGCTGGCTGAGCTTTTGGATGAAGAAAAGCTTAGTGGAGTCCCCGTGCTCATATTCGCTAACAAGCAGGATTTGCTGACGGCTGCCCCTGCTTCGGAAATTGCCGAGGGACTGAACCTACACACAATCCGGGACAGAGTCTGGCAGATCCAGTCTTGTTCAGCTCTTTCAGGAGAGGGAGTACAGGTGAGGCTCTGGAGAAGGCTTGCTGTGCCAGCAGGCCATCTGTAAGAGATTGTTGTCTGTTGATCTGCAGGGTGGGGCTGGACTGGCTGCCTCACAAAGGAGGGTCAGCACAGCCAAACCCTTGCAGCGCAGAACATCGGGGGGCCCGTGTCTCATTGTCTGTGCAAAAGGAAGGGGGACATGCGAGCCCTTAGGATCTCTCCATCCCCGGGAAAGGGGAGAGCAATTGCCTCCCCACACAGGACCCCCTGGCTGGGCCAAATGAAGACATTGATATATTTTAAAGAAACTGCTGTCAGGTTAATCATTTTCACAAAACAAATCATCTTTTACTATTAACCCCTCTGACTGTTACAAGCGTGCACTTTAGAAATCTGATTTACCTTCGCTACTAATGTCATTTGGCATTTTGCTCAACCCAGGCGCCAGAGAGAAACCAAAGAAACACAGGAGTTGCACATGGGGCAAAAATCGCTTCCAATGGCAGCGTGTGGGGCAGCAAAAAGCCACGGAAGGGGCTGAGCTGTGTTCCTGTGCTGAACTGTAATAGCTGTGTCTTCAGCTCCTGTGCTGTAGCCAGTTCCTGCAGTATAGTGGCTCTTTGTAATGTAAATGGGACCTAAGTTTGTTTATTTCACTCTTAGGCTTTCCTGAATTAATGAAATATTTGCAGTGCTGGAAATCTGAGCAGTCAGGAGTACTCCCTTCCCTGATATTTAAAGAAAGAGAATGGTGAAGGCATTTATCTTCATTGCAGATTCAGTAAAACCTTATTTGCAGATGCTACAGAGCTGTTCAGGATAGTCAGATCTCAAGCTGCGAATGCAGAGTTGCAGAAGCAGCCCGCAATACTGAGTGGGCAGTAAAACGGAAGATGAAATTCAGTGTTGACAAGTGCAAAATAATGTACATGAGGAACAACAACCCTAACTATACACATACAATGATGGACTCAAAATTAGCTGCCGTTACTTAGAAGCAGACCGTTGGGAAAAACAGTTTAGCACTCTCAAAGGCCAGACAGGAAAATCAAATGCTAGAAAATTATCAGAAAGTGAACAAGAAACATCCCAGAAGACATTTCTTTTGTAGCAGGATAAAGGCATGGTGGGCCCATACCTTGAACGTGACATTCATTTCTGCCTCTGCCTCGTCTGAAAAGATTTTAGTAGTAGAATTACAGAGTCCAACAGAAAAATAGGTTGAAAGGTCTTCAGGAGATCTTTAGTCCAACCTTCTGTTTAAAGCAGAGATAACTAAGTCTAAAGGAGGTTGCTGAGAGCCTTGTCCAATTAAGCTATAAATATCTCCAGGCATGGAGATTCCACAGCCTTTATAGGTAACCTCTTCTAGCACTTAACTACCCTCATCAGAAAAATATTGTCCATATATCTGCTCAGAATTAGGAGAGATTTGAGAATCCTCTGTTGAGAATGATTAGTAGCACAGAGTGGCATCTGTACACAGGGATGATAAATATATTAAGACTTGCAGCTTGAAAGAGAGAGGACAGAGAGTGGGAAGATTTTCAGGATTTATAAAATAAGGTATAAAAGTGTCAGATAGACTGCATACTATTTTTCATGTTGCTAAAGGAAGAGTTCCTAATGAAATAATCAGATGACAGCTTAAAATAAATAAAAATAAGTGCTTCTTTGCAAGTTGCGTAATTAAATTGTGGATCTCACTGGCACAGGATGTTGTGGAGACCAAGGGTATCAGTCGGTTCAGAAAAACACTAAGTGAATTTCTGAAGAAGAGATCCACAGGCAATAGTTGACCACTAAGATCTGGAAGCAGCTTTTGCATGAGAAACAGCTTGGGCCATGAACTGGGAGGGAAGAGCAGAGCAAGGGAGATCCTGTTCCTACATGTTCTTTCCTTTGGCATCCAGAAAGGGGATGCTGGTCTGGATGGACCATTGGTCTGACCCAGTACAGCAGTTCTTCTGATTTAAAATTCTTAACCTGATGTTTAGACATAAATGTAGCAGATGGTGTCCTCCAAAGGGCCTTTATTTAGTCAGCTGAGATACAAATTCAGCTACGTTGCAGCCAATCTCATGAAAAGCTTCAACTCTTTGAAGTAGTGGTGGTAGAGGGAAATGCATTCCATAATGGCACTATATCTTCAAGTCCAAAGAAATGCGATCAAGTAAGTGAGGCTGTAGTTCAGAGGGTCGCAGGCAGGCACAGGTCACCTTCTTCCCTCCTCTAGTTTATGGGAGTCCAAGTTACCTCTCCAGCTGCAGAGACAGTAAAGCAGCAGGTGAAATTCAGGGACGCTTGTTGGATGTGGAAGAACTAGATGATAGAAAGTGGCACTTTCTGTTCACGAGCTTGGAAAAACGCCTCCTTCTCAAGCTGATCTGCGGGGTCTCTGGAGGGACCTGCACACCTCTTTGTTGACTGTGCCGCCTTACTATCTGCTTGCTTACTTACTGCCTTGAAGTACAGTGCATCCCTATACGTTCAGCAGAGCCAAATACACAGACCAATACCCTCTACCAGGGAAGTGAAACCTACTTCTGCCTTCACTTCCGGAAGGCAAGAGTTAAATAAAAGTATTTGCAAGCCTATATATTTTGTTCATCATGCTTATCTAGACAAATTGATTTAGATGCAGGCTAGATAACGTCCCGCTTTGTTGACCATGGTCTCATTGTCCTAAATACTGCAGCTTATTCCACAAATGATTATTGCAGGAAGGTCAGGGAAGTCACAAACTCTCTACAGCTTATAGAAAGAGCCCCTACGTTTCTCTTCAGCCATAACTCCAGCCTTATCAAATCAGACAGCAAGAATGCCAAGCTCTCCCTTTTCTTGGAAATTCATGGAACAAAATGGTTTGGGAGCTGGCTTTTAAACTAAAGGATTTTGCTTGAAGCTGGATCAGCCCAGGAAGAGTGTCTTCAGTCGTGGGACTCAAAGGAGAGAGCAACATGCTCAAAATTTAGGGGAAAGAAAGAAGAACTTGTTTAAAGAGTGATAGTTTTGAGGATCATGGTACACATTATCTCTACCAGTGGCTCAGAAAGGGAGCTCTCTGCATAGTTAAATCTCAGGTCACTGCTTTAAGAACTTCTTTGAGAAATGACGATGAGTGACAGCAAAATAAATGAAGACGTGGAAGCATCAGGTATTCAGAATGAAAGCCAAGGAGCAAGCACGCTAACCGTCACTGCCGATGGAATATATTAGCTGGAGTAAAATTGGAGATGTTGCTGATGGATTTTGCAAGGAAGAGTGGTGGCATATCCGGTGCTGAGCACATGCAGGAACAGAGTTCATAGAGGAAGATTTTTGTGCTAGCTTGAAGGAAGAGCAATGAGCAAAGATAAATAATGCCAATACATGAAGGAGAAATAGTTTGAAGGTCATATAATTAGTTTAGCTGCTAGCACCATGGTGTATAGAATTGGGTAGTTAAGACTGGGGATTTCAAGGTTAATGAGATTAGATTATGGTTAATAGAATGATATAAATTTAGAGAATTTAACTATTATTTGAAATGGGTTATTTAATAAAACTGTTAATTAAGCAGGGAATCCATATTGTCATCTTCTCTTTTAAAATTAACCATTGGGGACTGTGGAAAAGGGGCCCAGCCTTGTCCTGAGCAGACTCAGAAAAGAGGTGACTGGGTTAACTGGAAACCCCATTTAGAGTCCTCTGGAAGCCAGCTGGTAGCCCCCATTATGCCCGCTGAAGACTTCATTAGCTCTTGACTCTAACGGTGGGCAGCACTTGTCTTGTTAATCAGACTTCACGGTGCCATTGAGGGAGGAGTGGCATCCCTCATTCTTTAAAGGCTTTTTCAGGCAAAATGTCTGCTTTGGGTCTTGATTTTTTCGTTTATCCCTAGTTAGGAAAGCAAGAAAGCCTTTTCTCCCCACCACAGCCATTTGGGCTCTGCCGCTGGAGCAGAGTCCTGTACCAGCTTACACTGAGACCCTTGCACAGGGCACAGCAAGCGAGGGAGGTGATCACCAATGTCAACAGAGAAAGGAACTGTTGCCTCACAACAGCTCTCTGGTGCTGCCTAGGCTCCAGAGAGCCTTGGGGTGGTGTTTTGTGACTAATCTCCAATTGTAGTCCGTGGCCTGCAAAAGCTATGTACATCCCACCCTGGCCAGCCAGAGCGGGCTGAAAGCCAGCAGGGCTCCTCTGCTTTGCAGCCTGCCCTCTTGCTGGAGGTGTTATTTATGGGCCAGGGTGTGTATTAAACATGACTCAAAGCTTTGGACCGGAGTGTGCTCTGCAGCTTGTTTCTTGACCGAAGCAAGAGTCTCCAATCAAGGCAGCAGGAGCTCAACCTGCCCCAAGGAACGGTCCTCCAGAACGATGCTGCAGCATCTTGTGCCTGGAGTCTCCCAAGCATAACGGCCCCCTGGAGACCATTAAAAGCCAGTGCAATTGAGAATAGCCACTAAACTTACCTGATTTATGCCAGTGCTGGTCTTGGCAAAAGGGCTGTGGAAAGGGCTCAGCCTCCTTCTCCTCCCTGGCTGTTTCAACCCAGTTGAGAACGGAGCCCACGACCTAAGTTACACTGATGCTGCAATTCAACAATTTCATAAGGGCAAGATTCAGAACGGGACCCCCGGCAACATCGTATCCTCAGAGTTAGGTTTTATCTTAAAGATGTCTCAGCCAGGGCAGGCTAGATGGGGATCTTCCACATTTTAACAAGGTTCCGGGGCTACTTGTAAATGTAATTTAAAACCAATTTGGATGACTGCAGCTCCCCTGGGGCAGGCAGAGCTGATACTTGTTGAGGAAAAGCAACCATGTTTCCAGATTACAGGGCAAAGTCTCTGTGATTTTTAAGCAGAGTAAGGAGGGAGTCGCAGCACTGCATCGGGGATACAAGGTCTCAGAGGACAAAATAAAAGCTTGCACCCAGGCAAAAACAATGGATAATATACTTGCAGGAGCCTGTGAGAGCCAGCCTGTACGATGACTGGAGGTGCAAAGAAATGACAGATAATGAAGGCACAGTCCTCGCTGTGCAGAGGGAGAAGAAAGTGACAGTTAAAATAGCGCATAGCAAAAATGCTAGAGATGGAGAATTTTGCACTTGCCTGACCCAATTTGTTATGGCAGACAGAGGATTACATGAAAGGATTAAGCTTTGCTGTCCTTAAGGTCACGTTAGGGGTCACAAGTTTGTGGCCTTGTGTGATCCCTGACTTGCAGGGGAGCAGAAATCAGGAGGCTTTTTATGGGGTGGAAAGGACTCGTTCACTGTGTTTGAAGTCAGATTACTTCACTTTCATAGCCACAAAGCTGATAATGCAGAGAATAAGCAAGCAGCGGGCTAATCTCAAGCAGGACTTTTTATTTCTCCCGGGGAATGCTCTACCAGTCCTTTCCCAAAGGGCGTTAAAGTACAACTCCCTTGACACAACAGCAGATGTGACTGCAGCAAGGCAGGGTTGTGCCAAGCAGCATTTCTCTGCAAGGAGCATTATCCTCTTCCCTGGAGTTTTCTCTCTCTGCTTTGGTAAAGTTTACTAGCTGCTTGTTAAGGAGCTAAGGGAGGCAAAGCTGAAAGATCTGAAATCTTTCCCTGGCTAAGTTTTCCCAGGGTTGACTTGAGGATGGAATACTAATATTGTATCCGTCTCCATCCTGAGAGTACCTGCCAATGTCTCTGTCTCAACAAAGCAGTGCAAGGACATCTATCAAGATCTCAATGTTACTGTAGGGATTGTACTTTCTGCACAGATCCGTCTTTTAAGCATGCAGGTATATGGACAGAGTGTTTAGGGACAAAGGATGACAACAGTTGATTCCTTGTGGACTTGACTCTTTCAAGCACCATTTCCTCCTTCCCCATAGCAGCTTCCCTGGATTTCTCTATCTTACCAGCCCCGTGTCCTGCTTCAAACCTTAGTTAAAAAAACTGCAAACATACCTTTTAGTTTCTTTCGCTTTCCGTTGCATTTGCTGTTCTCCAAACACTGGGGACACTGCAGAACACGCTCTCCCCAGCAAAGTTGCACCAGAAGCTACGGATATAGCTGCGGTGTGGCTGAAGATGAGGAAGATGTCTCACACTTACCTTTCGATACAACACCCGTAGAGCTGAGCATGTTCATTTTCCCTTTATCACTGTCAGGCAGGGAGATATTTACAATTAAATGTGATTTTTCCTGTCAATTAACTGAGGCCAGAAGAGAGTTTTTAAAATCTCTTCCTGCTTTAAAAGTTCAGTGACCTACTTACGTATTTCAAGCCTGTTTGGAGTTCACCTTTCCTCTTGCATTTTGCTATGTCATTCTTTTGCCCTCGTTATATGCTTGATGCAGCCAGGCTCCCAGCCATGGTAAATCCCATCATAAACTCTGCTTTATGACCCTCACCGCACTGGTGCTGAAATGGTCTGTCCTTCCTTTCCAGAGCTCCCGAATGGCAGCAGGCAGAGTTTTAATCACTGTGAATTCAGGTTGTGGTCAGATTAGGTAGAAGATAGGATGCGTGTTTGTTGTTTTGCAGTGATGTATTGTTTCTGGGATTACTGTGCTGAATAGCAGAGGGTGTCAGCTGATATTTATTACTTTAAGCTGTCTCAGCTGTTCTGGTTCAGCAAATAAACCTACATTCAAAATGAATGAGGAGCTCTGCTTGCCTTGTATGCCATGATGTGTGCAAATGTGATTATTGCTTCCGAGGCAGGGGAAGCTGAAATCATTGTGGGAGCATTTTTAGTTATTTATTTATTTTTACTCTTTGCAGGCAATCATGCAGATTTCTAAAGCACACAATCAAGCCAAAGGCTTGACACCTCTCCTCCTAGCCCCATTGTTAAGCCCTGGCATTCCTCATGCTGGGAATCACTCGCTCACCCTCTCTCTAAAGTGATAAGCTCTAAACCACGCTATTGATTGCTTAAGGCATTACATGTTTTACACCTAGGTTATCAGTGTTATTGAAAGGGGAAGACACAAAGCTACTGGGCCTTAAAATGAATCTGCCTCTCATCTTTTCCCATTTGCTCTGAGGATTTCAGACAATTTGTTTTACGCTGATCTCTGCTGTGGAGATAAATAAATGAAACTGGAGACATCAACCCTCCCCAAGGTTAGAGTTAGAAGTGTTATTAGTGTAGGGCCTCATGTGCACCCCAGCACAAGCTGAGCTCACTTATTCTTTATTTAACACAGCAACAAGGGCTGATTTCAAAAGTTGCTGCTCCCCTTCAGATAAGAAGTGCCACATAGCACAGCTATCAAGGTGAATTGGTATTTTCAAGTGAGAACCTCTCTGCTTCTGATTAAGCCCTGAGGACTCCTTCTTTTCTCTCTTAACTCTTTAGCTCCCCTCCGACATGGCCACCACCATTGTGGCTGAGGGGCAGCATGGAGGCACGGTGGTGGTTCTCAGATGACCCGAAAGGCCTGCCGTGCTGTCTCTTTGGCCGTCTGTCCTTGGGGCAGCTGAGGTCCTTGGCAGCCTTTTGGCGTCTGGGGACAAGGACGCAGGAAGCCAGCAACACTGCTGCAACGAGGCAAGCAACAATGCTGGCCCAAAGGCTCTGGTCTTTCTTACGGTCTAACCATCGTTTTAATGATCCAAAAATGATCATTGAACATAATACAGTGAAATTCCCCTTCCAAAACTCCAGGGTGACATTTGCTCGATTTCCAAGCGCAAAGATGTGCCACTCTCCTCTCATCCACAAAACCCTACCTGCCTTCTTTCTGCCCTGAGCCTCCCTGTCAGCAGAGGTGCCTTGTAGGCAGGGTAGAGGTAGTGGATTTGACAGGACACAAACATGAGGAGACTGTGCATCTTGCACTCCGTTCTGCCCATATCACAACAGATAAGTGACAGGAGCAGATAAAATGTCGCTTTGTCCTTCCATAGCGTGTCCCATTCTGGGATCTCAACAATAAACTCACGACTCCGGTATTCTCAGCAGACGCGTTACCGTTCTGCTTGCAGTGGTCAGAGATGTCACACATTATTTACAGAAATACCCTAAAGAGTGTATCAGCCTCTTAAAACATGGCCATGTCTGTTCTCACTGAGCCCCTGTTGGACCTCTCAGGGCCCATTTTCTGTGGGGGCCCTGAGGCACAGGGAGCAGGGTCCAGATCCAGTTATTTCAGTGGCTTTCGTGAATCTGGATTTCAAGGCTTGCAGCTGAGCAGAGAATTAGAGCCGTATTCTTCACAGGGAGCTGACTGTATAAGAAACAGCCACCTAAAAATTCACAGTCTCAAAGATAAGATGACTTGCCCGAGGTTACACAAATCATCTATAGCTGAGCCTTCATCTGCCACTGACGTACCTTGACTGCAAAACGATCCTTCCTCAGAGGACCTACACATAGCGACATGATGAGATGATGATACTTTTTATGGTCAGATGAAAGATTTAATAACCTCTGTGTGACAACATCTACCAAGCAATGAAGCGCTTGGTTTTTCACACACGGCGTTTTTGGGCACAGAGGGCAGGCGGGGGGTAGATGAGGAGGCAGAACACGGTGCTTCCAGAATGGTGATCAGGTGGGATTGGGGAATCCTTTTCCCTTTGCTTGGCTAACATTACTTTTCTCTGTCTGAAGGACGGCATGAATTGGGTGTGCAAAAATGTCAATACTAAGAAGAAATAAAGCGTTCTGAGCCACATGGAAATGGAGGAGCGGTGGGAGCAGAATTCTAGCCTGAAAACACTAATTTGCTGCTTTCTGACCAAATGTTTTTCCATCTGTGCGCGGCTACAGCTGTTAAAAGAAAAAAAAAAAGCGCAAGTAAAAAAAGGGAACAACATCGGTTAAAACCTACTGCTGGATTTGGAACTTGACCTGCTCTTTCGTGTCATTTTTTATCCCATTATCCCAATAAAGGAGTTATATATTTCCTCCCTATGCATAAGTAGTATTAAATGTCTGATTAGCAAGCAAGTCTGTAAGCAGAAGCAAGACTGTGATTCAGTGTGGAGCAGAGGGAGTGGTGAGTTACAGTAGCTGCTTAGATGCGTAGGACCTGCCCTATACGTGCAGGTTTGCGGTTGCTGAGGACACGCTCAGGTGTCAGTCACGGCTTCCCCTCAGTGACAGATAAAACGCGGTTGTGTTACCAATTGTGGGTAGTTTCTTAAAATAAAGCTGCTAAGGAGTCATTTGTGTAATGAGGGTAGAAAACTTCCACGTATTCCTATAGCCATAAAAGAGGAGTTTGATCATAACGAGGCACTGTTGCATTGCGACACCGCCATAGAAGGGAGAGAAGGGTTATATGTGTATAATTGAAGCTCTTTACAGTTGGAATAATGCAGGATGAGCGTGCCTAGGGCTTTTCTCACAGCTGAGGGAGAATTTAGCCCAGCATTTCACCTTGAGCCAGCAAAAACGTGGTTCCTACGTTCAGTAAGTTCCATATGTGAGATTAGTCTTGATGTTGAACAATCCCTGTTGATTTTCCCTTGATGTTAAAGCAACTCTGCGGCAAAATGCAATTAAGTCCATGATTACTTTCTAGAATGAGATACCAGGTCCCAAGTTTCCTTTCTGAAATGTGCAAAATATATTTTCCTACCCACCTTCCTCGGCAGGCCTTGCTTAGCCCTTTGGAAGATTCAGGGGACTGCCCTGTGGTGAGCTGGCTACCCAGGGCCTGAGGTTCCCCCCAGCCTGGTGCCGGCTGCGGATTGCGCTGGTGGAGGGTGAGGAGCCTGATGAACGGCAGATGGGAAGCACTCTTTAAAACGAGGATTCGTTCTTCCCTAAACTGGCTTTCCTCTAAAAGGATGCAGTCACTGGAATAGGAAAGAGAATGTGTTTTCCACCTCTTCGTCCCTGATTCAAATCTAGCCCCAGCTGACAGTGAGCAGGAGTCATTAGCACGCCAAAGCAGCCATGTCCTGCATGGAGTGAGCTTGGTGACTCCTGGGCCAGTTTCTAATGCACAGATGGTAAAATAATCCCACTGCCCTGCGTGCCAGCTTTGTTTGCTGCCTGCCTGCGAAAGGCCAGAGAATGACTAGGGACTGCATTACCCCTTCCACCTCTTGGAGACGGACCGGCGGGCGGTATGGGGAACGCTGCGTGTACTAAAGCATGTGGCTTTACCACGCGTCAGCGAGTTGACTCATGGACCCAGGCAGACGGCTGACACCCCTGGAGCTCCCAGCTCGTTTCTCCTCCCTTCCCCTGGATGTCTCCATCTCACGGCAGAAACATCTGCACTGTACATGAAGCAGCCCCTGGCCACCTATGTGTTGCAGCCTGGCAGATTAAAATCATCTGGGGCTGGTCCAGGGGGCCCCCCATACATCTTTTTTTTTCAGGGGTTGATCTACGTGTAGTTCAGCTGTCTTTGCTGTGGCTGAGGGCAGAGGGACAGCTGGGACAGCAACTGCTTTAGCAATCCAACTTTAATCTGCCTGCGTCCGTGAGTCAGCACCCTCTGAGTGCATCTGTTTCCAGCACTGAGGCAGGACTTGCATGCCGGAGTAGCACAGCCTTGATTTAAAAATCGGGCGACTGGGAGGGGGGAAAAGAGCAGGCTCAAGTGAGCTGTTAAGCAATCGCTAATGACACAAAGTGACATAGCTCCAGCTTTGCATGGATTGAGTAAGGAGTCATAAGATGAGAGCTGTTCATTTAAACATAGCTCATTCAGCGACTCCGCAGCTGCACTGGCTTATCAGGAACCCCAGGAATCTGAGCACCACATGTTCCTGGGTCAGCCCAAGGAGGAGAAACACATCCTGACATCGCCTTTTCCTTGCAATTAGTGTATTTGCCTGATGCAAGTGCTGTAAAGAATTGCAGCTCTTTCTTGAAGGCATGCCTTGTGCTGGCTGAGCGGCAGAGCTTTGTGGCAGATACTCCCGAGCTTTGGATTTGCTCCCACTGCATGCCAGGTGCAGAGTGAAGTGCTTGGGTGCCCCTTCTCTGGCACGGGCAAGATGAGCAAAGTCCCCGTGGAGGCTCGGGTGCTGAGCCTTCTCCCTTGCAAGGGAGTTGAGTTGGTGCTTCTCTGCTCCCTACTTTCTTCTTTCTTACCAGTGGCAAACTTCCCCTGTGACACCCAACTTGTGCCACAGTTTTAGCTTTCTGGATTCAAAAAGCATCCGGGAGCATAATTTGGTTTTTTTTAGGCTCAACTTGGAAAGGTCTGTAAAATAAATATATAGTAAATTTCCTGTCACTCTGGTTTGGAAGGAAAAATTGCCTTACTGAACTCAGGATCCAGAAGTGTTTGCTGGCTCATTTCTTATGTTTGCGTGTAGCCACACGTGTTGGTTCTGTACATCCATACCAGCCAGAGCTTCACCTGCAATCCAGTAGATTGATGTGGTTTACCTGTACCAGGTAGTAAGAGAGGAAGACAGGTCACAGAGCGAGCCATGCTGGGAGGCTGGAGGTGACGTGTTAGAATGACCATGACTGAAGCAAATCACCCTGCAGTGATGGCTGTAAACGCTCCTTGTATTGTGAACATCTCGCTGTGCATCGACCTGGTGAAAATGCACAAGGATTTGATGTTCTGTTCATTTGCCGCTCCTTATCTGAATGCATTTGCATCGCTGTACCCTCTGCAGGGCTCTTCTCCCTCAGCAGCATCTGGTTAATCCCACCTGTAAAACGGGCTGGGGCCAGCCCAAAACTCCTGCTGCCGTTCAGCGAAACCTCTGCCCCTCGCCCAGCCCTTCCGCTCCTGTTTGGTTTACGGTGATGAGGTGCGCCAGGTTTTGTCCTTCCGACTCTGTCTGCTTTGCTCTCCTCTAAGTGGGATTCGGGGGCAGCAAACCATCTCATTGGTGTGGGTGGAGCTCTGCCACACGTTGCATCAATTCATGGATTTTTAAAGCCAGAAGGGACCGTTATGTTCCTTTCTCCTGACCTCCCGCATAACACAGCCCATTAAACGCCACCCCGCTGGTGCGGTGACTTGCGGTTGAATTAGAGCACCTCTGGTAGGAAGATGCCCGGCCATGATTTAAAGGCTAGGAGTGACAGACAGATCCACCCCAGGCCTTGGGAAGTTTGTTGCAGGGGTTAATTCCCCTCCCAGGGGGAGTTTGTCCTGTGTCCTTTCACATCATTAAATCTGGTTTTACCTTTGCAATGGATGAAAGACGCGTCTCCTGCCCCTTTGTCTTCTTTGGAGGGGAGAGGCAATGGCCAAGTGAAATTCTCCAAGGACACATCAGGGAATGTGGGTCCAAGCCCCTGCTCCGACCACGAGCGTTGGGTGTGGGGACTCGTGTCCTCCTCCGGCTACAGCCAGGTCCCCCAGCTGCAGCTCTGATGGAGAACGTCTCTCCTTGCCCTTGGAGAATGTTTGCCAAAGCCTCACGCAACCATCTCCCATTTTGCCCCCTACCAATACTGCTGCTTGCACGTTAATGACTTTTTTATCTGTCAAAAATGTAACAGATCACCGGACTTTTTTTATTAAGTGTACTGGGATGAGACCAACCCCCTCAAACTCACCCCCTGCCCCACAGGGCTCGCTCTTCTGCAAAAGCAAAAAAGGTGGCGGCTGTTGCATTCCCTGGGTCGGCTGGGTCCACACAAGCTCTTTCTTTTATGTTCCCTTTTTGAATTTCACCAAAAAGGGGTATTTGCAATATCTGGTCGTGTTGTTACTCAGTGTATAATTTAGATGTCTTTGTCAAAAAAAAAAAAAAAAAGAAAGAAATTAAAATTTAGTAGAAAGACAACTCGTGTTTGGGGGTGATCCTTTTTCTTCGACAGGCTCATTTTTCCAGCAATCGGTCGAGGACTGCCTCTTCCCAAGGAGCCACTGGTCAGTCTGCGAAGCTGCTCTCCCACCACTCCCCTCTGTCTTCCCATCAGAGACAGGCACCAGTACTAGAAGTGGTCAAAACTGTTGGAAAAAGCCTTTTCCCTTTGGGTTATCACTTGTCTAGAACTGTGAGCAAAACCAGCCAGTGAGAAAGGCAAGCTTTGGGAGGATCTTCTTGTTTCAAAAATAATTTTGTAGGTTAAAAACATGTCACGAAACACATTCCCCGCAGATCTGGCAGGAAAAGGGAAGAGGAAAAAAGAAAAGCATTATTTGGGTTTGGTTCAGTGAAGTGGGGTTTCGAGGGGGAAGTGAATTCTGGGGTTGTTTGTTTCCAACTAATTTGACTCATTACTGTTCCTGCAACACCGCACGAGCCAAAAAGCGAGAAACTCTCAGAGCTCTTTAAAGCATCAGCTCCCTCCCGGCACGGCCAGGATGCCTGGAAGGCTGTCAGAGCCGCTGGGAAAAAAACATTATAGATGGTCACACTTAATTTCTTTTCTCTTTTTTTTTTTTTCCTAAGGCAGACATTATACTGAGCCCTGATATTTTTTTCAGCAAAGTAGGAAATAACTTTTTCGTCATGTTTGCCTAATGGATTGGATGTGAAAAATATTTCTCTGGCAAGTGAACACCCTGAGAGTTGTTTTCCTTGTCACGACGTTATGTATCGGGCCCTGTGGCCCCCGGCCCCCAAAGCCGCCGCGCTTCCCCTCTCCTGTTGCTGTTTACGGTGGGACACGCTGTGATTTATGGCGAGGCTGCGTGTGACCTTGCATGCATCTGCTCGGGCGGGCCGCGGCTGCCTTCCCCGCACAAGCCCCGCTTTACATTCACATGATGAATTTAGTGCTCCCGAAAGGACGAGGAGCCGAGTGGATTGGATGCAGGGAGGGGAAAAGAAAATAATAATCCACAGCCTGAAGGAGAAATAAACACCAAGATTTTTGTTCCTCTTTGACCAGTATT